AAAAAAAAAAAAAAAGTAGAATAACAAACAGTCACAAATATTGCAAACTTAAACTTTACACCCCATAAGTCACACAATGATGCATTATATTATTACCCTAAAAATCAATTTATCCTAATTGTGAATAATTATTCACTCTAAGAACATGCATACTATATATATATATATACTTTTGTATTTATTTTATTTTATTATAAATTATTATTATTTATTTATTTATTTATTTATTTATTTATTTATTAGGTCCATAATTTGAAGAACAAAATTATGAAATGAGGATGATGAAAAATTGGGCCTAGGGCACAGCCACGCAGCCCGAACACAATTCACATGCGATTTGTACCCATAAAGCAAAGCATCTGACAAAGGCCCTTTAATCCATATGTTCTTATCTTAGTAATTACTTTTTTTTTTTTTTACCGAAGATTTTGTTTTATTTTGTTTGTTTTTGTGTTCTATCCTAAGTGTTTATTTATTAAAATTTGAAGCTAGCATGGTTTAAAAAATTGAGGGAAATAAAAAATAAAAATAAAAAAAAAAATAAATAAAAAGAAGAATAATGCCTTTTTTCCCAATATTTCCTATTTTGGTGGATATATAATAATTTGATGTTTTACTTTTTTTAGTAACATTTGGTGCTTTAGAGAATCTTATGCTTGATTTTTTGCTATATAGTATTTAATTATTAATAGCATTAATAGGTAACTTCACAAGGGCTTTATAGGTTATCCATTATAACCCCTAATGCTTAATATAATACAATTTTTATGTTACAACGTTTATTATGTTTATCAATTTTGTTTTATAAAATATAGCTCACACTTCAAATTAATTCAGTGAAAACGATTCGTTGATAGTAATATGTAACAAGAATTATGCCACTTTGACATAATTTTTTTAAATAATAGATGTGTAAGTATACGAATCGTTGATTTTTAAAATTGATATGATGTGTATAAAGTAAAAACAACGTGATCAATTACGAAAAAATAAATAAAAAATTAGGCGGTCTAATAATTCGTAGTCATATTTTCCATTATATCATGATATATTATACTTTTGTTTTGGTATTATATATTTTGTAAAGTATATCATTTTGGTTGAAAAATTATGGTTGTCTAACAATTAGACAGCCGGAATTTTAAAATTTCATATTTTAAATTCTAATGTAAACAAGGATAGGACATTCACACATTATAATTCAAAAAATTATGATGGATCAATTTCGTTATATGTACCATCCTCTCATCAACATATGTGTTTGGGGGAGATTCTACGGTCCCGTTAAATAACCATTGTGTCGGAGTTTGTAACCGTTAGATTAACTATGAACGACGATTACATGATAATATAATGGCTACAAATCCCGACAGAATGGTTTCGTAACGGAATTATAGCATTTTCTTGTGTTTGAAGAGGTGTGAATGTATTTTTCTATATATTGGGTGTTTCTTATTGTAAACTCCAACTAAGAAATCAAATGAGCACACCAAATGATTATCTATGTCTATAATAATTAACTCGTTACATAAAAATATTATTTGAACACTCATGTGATCAGATCACGAGTCCAAAAAAACCTAATCATAGTCTATAATAATTTTATTGATGCATTATTGTTTTTGTACATGATTAATCACAATCAATCATGCTAAAACATTCGGAAGTTAATTCAATCTCCAAACTAAATAATAAAAAAATATAATTGTTAATTAATTAATAATAACAATAATAAATAATAATAATAATAATAATAATAATAATAATAATAATAATAATAATAATAATAATATAATATAGCTAGTCAAAACAAATGAGCGGTCAATGTCATCAATCAGTAAAACCAAACAAATGATTCCCCATCGAATGATATATTATATTATATTCCCTGAGAGTCAATATCAACTAATGCAGACATTACTTAATGATGAGCCAAAATAATCGACTTATCAAGGTTGCCGGTCGAATTGCCTCATCTCAATTGCGTGAAAGTTTGGACGTCTCGATCTCCTTCATCATCAAGAACCGGATCGACCTGCGAAGCGCCAGGGCGGGGCCCCAGCATAGACACTCCGACGCTCAAGTCAGATAACAAATATTTTGCTCGTGTATCTTAATAATCTTAAGAGCTCGGGATTAGAAAAATGAACCTGGTCCCTTATTTATAAAGGATTTAATGACATACTCCCTAAGATAATCAGTTTCCTCCATAAACAAGAATTCTGATACTCACAAATAACTGTGTAGATATACACTAATCTTTTATGAATATTTAACATCATGTGTCACATAAATTAGGCTCCAAACTCCCTTGTACCGGCCTTATTCGAGCTAACGGATCAGGCTAGTCCACCGAGTTATATTTGGTGCTATATCAATTAATATTCTTGAAAATTTTAATTTTTTTTATAATTATTACAAAGATTAATAGTAAAAAGTTTATTTTAGGGATTAAGAGGGATATGGATATTGTCCCATCCGCGTGACCCGGCCCAGTAAAGCAAGTGGCCCACTAAACAGATGCTTGCTTAATAATAAGCATATAAGCCTGTTTACCTAGATTGACCTATATTTAAGAAAAATAAAAAATAATGATAAATAAAAAAAAAAAAAAAAAAAAAAAAAAAAAAAAACGTGAACAATAACAGTGAGCCTATGTATTGATGGCCCAACCATTAAAGTAAATAAAAAAATAGGAATATTTTTAAAAGGGAATTTACAAATCATATGCTTTAATAGTTAATTTTTTAATTAAAAAAAAAAAGTTCTCATCTTTATGTTGCAAAAGGAGAAAAACGTAGTATAATTTTAAAATATTTTCATACAATAAATTCATATACAATTATACAATATCTCTAATTTTAACCCAAGAGCGCTTGGATGAGATGGCTTGGGTCTCTTCCAGCTTAACCAGTGGTCTCGTGTTCGAGTCCTGGGAATGCAGCAGTGTTAAAACTCTTGAGGGAGAGCTTTGCCGCCCTTGTGGTCCTACCCGGCTCGATTCCGGATTAGTCGGTTTCCTTGTGGATCCGGAAACCGGAAGGTCTCTGTACCAAAAAAAAAATATCTCTAATTTAAAATATAGTTATATAGATAGAAATGATTTATTTAATGCATATTACCAACCCGACCAACATGCAGCCATTTCATGAATATAATAAATTTAATTAAAATGTGGCCCTATCTTTTTCCCAAAAAATCAATTTTACATTTAAAGCATTTGGATGGATAAAGTTGCATTGTATTCAACCCAATATTGGTACCCATTTATTATTCAAGGGATATATATAGGAATAATATAAAACCGTATTTATTGATGACAAATATCTTAAATTATTAATTTAAGATATCTTGAAATATCTTAAATCATTAATATAAAACTATATCTGTATAAAATTATTATCAAGAATATAAATAATTAATCTGAATACAACATTAAAACTTAAAAAAGAGATTAAAAACAACATGATAGTTAACCCATAAAAGTAGTATTATTAAATTAGTATTTTCATACTTGGTTCGTGGTTCAAATTGACAAGATTTTATATTTCAGGTCTCGAGTGGATAGTTAACTCATTTTTTAGTAATTTATGTTGATAAAACTCTTTTCTTTTATTTGTTGTTTATCCCCAATTCCAATATATTAAATTTCTAGAAAATTAACTTATAACTCACATATGAAAAACATAGAATATATAATTAAGAATAGCAATGTACTACCTCCTATTTTAAATAGATGTCGTTTTGGGATGTTGTACATCTATTAAGAATTTTTTTTTTGTCAATAATAACCTTATTTAATAAAGATAGAGATG